GAACTCTTGTTGGAGATTACGAGCGAGAGGTGGTGGGTCACCTCTGGCAGCTTGGGCGGCGTTTTCTGCTTCTTCATTATGACGTCGTTGGCTAACCATGAAAACTCTCGCCCAAAGCCTTGAGGGAAAGGTGGATAGCTGCTGGTAGAACCCTCGGAGTATGGCTCGAGGCTTTCCTCTAGGATTGTATGTAGCGTGTCATCCGGGAGATATGTTCGGATTTGCACCATGTTTACCATTGGCGCAGGCTGGTCGGCCTTAGGGAAGTCGATTTGATAGAGGTCGTTGACGTGGCTGCGCTCGGCGTGGTCAGCGAAAAGATGGTACACGACATCCTGATAGATCAGACCTGCACCCACCAACCTAAAAGAATAGGGCTTCGGCATGCTCTTCGTCGGGGCGGGGAGTGGTCGGCGTTGAACGGTACGCCCTTCCGGAGTTGTCGTGATCACCTAATCTTCATCTTGCCACCTCGGACGACGTGCACGAGCAGGGTGCTCGACATTAGTGGCATGGTGACCTTGGAGTGCAGGAAATTCGTCGCTTGCTCTAGATTGATCTAAGATCGAATCCACGAGGAGCTGACATTCCGCTAAGCGGTCTGTGACCCGATCGATGGATGCGATCAGATCAACATTGCTGATGGATCTCCTAACCCAGCGGCGATGCATCGGGATCGGAGATGTCATTGTAGACGTTGGCACGATCGGCGCAGGGTGATTCTGCACCGCCTCCACGATTTCCCCGACGCCGTTGGCGCCGATGACCTAGGTCATAGATCCGACCGTGAAGGTCTGACCTAGCTCGGGAAGGATCATGGACCTCGGGAAACGGACCATCTGGCTCGCCATGGAATCAGCACGCACCCCCTACTTGGCGCGCCACTGTCGACGAAATATGATCGGCAGTCTATCGAGGGTGTATGCCCACAGTAGTAGATGAATCGGTAGAGGTGCGCGTAATAGGAACCGGATGGTGACACAGACACAAGACACAAGATTTATATAGGTTCAGACCGTCAGCTTGACGTAACACTCTATATCATGTGCTCTGTTATTTTGTATTGACTGTGTATCAGATTCGATATATCCCATCTAGGGGACCCCTGCCTCTCCTTATATACTCCGGAGGGGTAGATTACAAGAAAAATATCATATATGGTATTATATAATAAATCACATCTCCATGTAGTCTTGCGATGCATGCCTTGATCTTGTGGGCTGGGCCACCTTTGGGACGTAACCCATGTCTTGTCTTGTGGGTACCGAGGGCCATACCCCACAGGCGCTACCAGACATGATCTTAATACTGTTACTAAATTCAAGGGTCCATATGCTAATCATCTCGTAAGATGCATATTTTCCTATTTGCTCATCATCTTATAATAAGAATACGAGCCTGCCGATGCTCTTTCAACGTGTCTTTTTTTTTTTCTGAACACGTCTATTGGCGCATTTTTTATTAAGTTGAGAAGTCGTTTACAACGGTAACCGCAATGGTAACGCTAGTAGCGTTAGCATTGAGGACGCCGCGAATGCTACGCTTGACACGCTACTCTTTCAACGTGTCAGATGCATCCGGTGGCATTAGATCCTGTAGCGTTTCCGATGTTCAGCTTAAATATATGTATCAAAACTAGATAATTACTGAGGAAATGAATTGGAGGCGAAAAAGATGTGATTAGAGGCTCCAGATTTACTCTAGCATATCTTTCTTATTGTCTACAATATATACTTAGATATTAATAGGGATACAATTGTTCTCTCAACTATGTGTAATGCGCCGAACAAATTAAATATAAGATTCATACACGTGGGTGTTTTTGGGCCTTTCCAGCTAGGGCTTCTTTAGCGCTGTTCCCGTTGCCATTGCCATGGTTCCTCTGCTCCTCCTTATACAACCATTTTGTCAGTCATGAGAGGAGCAAGATCCTTCTTGCTCATTCTATTCATGGTAGTTAGAGTTTATATTGAACAATGTGTATTATGGGCTACCGTGTGGACGTTGTCTTTGTGGATTCTTTGCCGGATCTTATTTCTTATAGATAATTTTGATGCAAATGTTTTGATGTTCTTCATGTTGTTGTTTTTGTAGTGTTGATGTGTATGGTGTGGTGGTCGTGCTCCCACCATTCTTTGTGTCGCCGGTTCGGTAGATTTTCCGATCTCGTGATGGTCGGGACTCGGGAATGTATATATATATCCAGGGTTCCAGTTCAATCTTGTGGTGCAGAGATTGATGGTGTCGGTGCTCTTTCAATATTATGTCTGATGTGTCATCGCCCATGGCGTTGGATGATGGGAGGGTTTGAGGCATGTTGTTATAGATGATTGGAGGGTGTTTCTCCAACGACGATGTTCGTTGCAGGCTATCACTGACCTTCGGCACATCGGAAGATAACATGGACCGGAGGTAAATAAAAATTATTGGTGTGTTTGGTCTGAGGAATTAATATGTTAGCCCATCATCTCATTATTCCTCACTTTTTTTGTTTGGTTCAAATGGAATAGGTTGATACGTCATCACTTCATTCCTCACAAGTTAATAATAACTAGTACTAGTATGATCAATGAGTCATCTCACTAAATTATTAAATTTGAGAAATAAATTCATGATCGATGTGCCATCTCATCCAGGATCAATGGAGTGATTTCTCAAAAACCAAGCACTCTATAATAAGACGTACTGACGAGTCACATGGTTCTCTTGTGGACACAGGAACTGAAAACAGATAGCGCTAGTTATGTGACGAGCGAGTGTTAGTGCATGCATATGCATACGTTGTGTTGACTCTGTTGCCCTAGATCGTCAGCAGTAGTACTAGCTAGCCAGTCATGTCGCATTCACATGCCACAAAAAATAAAGTACTAATAATTCACGCCCACCGTCTCGCTCGATCCAGTCAAACGATGAAGAGAAAGTTGGCGACTAATTGTACTGTCGGTCACGGTGCCGTAGCGCTGTCGTCTACTCCGTCGTTAGCATGTACAGCATCAGTGATCGGTGGTCATCACAACGGGCCGGATCGTCTGCTTCGTCACACGAACTGTCGCCGGCCGGCCGGCCGTCCCTTAGCTTCTTTTCGTTCTCTCCTCATCACAATCTTCTGTTGGTCCCGTGGCTACTAGCTGAGTCATACCGTGCCCTAGCTTGTCATAACCCGAACCACAGCTCGCCCTCTCTGTAGCCCCAGCCATGCCATGCCACGCCTTTGTCGCCCTCCATGTCTGCCACCCTACCACCTAGTCTTCCCTTGAGATCTGCCACCGTCTATCACACAACAATCTTTTCAAGATGTTTATGTGTTTACAGAGGTGAGTGTACGTGTATATATGTGAATGACGTTTGTGTTTAAATTGTGTTCGTAAAAACAAGATACATGCCCTATGGTTCTATTCAGAACCCAGCCCTCAACCATAGCCTAACTAACCTCAGCCCCCCCCCAAAAAAAAAAAAAACTACCTTTCCCCTAGCAAAGTCGAAGTATTATAAATTTGCCCAAATTTATAAAGAGGATTTTTGGCATTTATGCCATCAAACTAGCACACATGGCCATGTGTTGCAGTGGGAGTTAAAAACTATCAAATATCCATAGACAAGAGAACATGAAAAGAATGTTATATATCTATTTTAATTTTTAATTTTCTATAAAATTTAAGGGCTACAATTTATTAATTAATGTTCTATTTGCATTATTTTATGATGATCATGACATTCATAATTTAAGTTAATGTTAAGAACCTATTAACTTTTTTATATCAAATTAATATATAGCCTTAAGAGGGTTTTTTTTTCTCCCGGCCCATTGTAAAGCACACGGACCAATTAATTTATAGCTTTAATTTCTATGGTATTCATGAGTTGGTACAATTAAAACCCAACTTTTCTGACTTCCTCTGAAAAACACAAAAAATTGTAATTCTAATCTCTGGTGGAGTCTGGCAACAAGTTATCTATCGATATGCTAATAACTGGTCTTTGTATTGATGATTATAATGGGAGAGTTTTCTCGATTTTTGACGTGGTGGCTCTCGTCAAGGATTGCACTGGTGCATGCATACAGTACAGAGACAAAATTTTAGATCTGTCTGGACAACAAACATCTTAAGCTTTTAGTTTACTGTTTGATTAGTTGGACCATTGGTTGAAGCAAGATGTATAAGTGGTATATATATGTTCCATGATAAATCTAATTATATCTATTTGATAATATGAATGTCGGTATTATTTTTTATAAACTTGTATCGATCAAACTTAACATAGTGGACTTAGGGCAAAACTAGAATGTCAAGTTGTTTTAGAGAAAAAAGGTAATACTTCCTCTTATATCAAATACACCAAATATATAAAAAAAGTATAAGTCCTTAACTTCATTTCACATTTTTGTTTTGTTATTCTATGTCTAGCCCCAGTTATTATACTAAGTGATTATAGCCATACACTTCTTAACAGAAGGTCACCTACCGGTTACCTATTATTCAGACAAAACGGCCCTTTAAAAAGGCTAAACGATCGATTAATAAAAGGGGTCAATGGTCACTAAATGGAACCTGTGGGCCGACGCGGACCCTATTCTATGGTTGCAAAATGGGCTGGGCCGTTTTTCCCAGCCCAGCCCGTAGGGAGACGTTGACGACCAAGTTTGCTGCTACGAGTCCTGGTCACGGACGGATTCCATTCCAGCTTCTCGAACCTTCCTTCCGCTCCCGACCCGAGTCCCTGCCTCCCTCCCCTCCCGGGCAGCCAGCCGCCGCCCTTCCCTTCCCTTCCCTCTCTCTCTCTTCCGAGTCCCTTCTCCCACCGTCGCAAGCCGCCCGCGCCGAGCCACCTCCCTCTCTCCCTGAGGCCTGACCGCGATTTGGGCGTGGCATCCAAAGGCGGTCAAGATTCGAGAGGCCGGAGGAACCAAGCGTAGGGCCTCCGACTCCACGTCGTCGTCCGCGCGCGCTGCCCGCCGGCGCAGGGAGGCGCCACCGCCTCCTCCGCCGCGGCCCAGGGAGATGGGGGCCGATTACTACAAGGTCCTCGGCGTCGACCGCGGCGCCGGCGACGACGACCTCAAGAAGGCCTATCGGAAGCTCGCCATGCGATGGCACCCCGACAAGAACTCCACCAACAAGAAAGAGGCGGAAACCAAGTTCAAGGAGATCTCTGTGGCATACGAGGTTGCCCGCCCCTCCCTCTCACTCTGCATCTGTTGCCAGGATTAATTATTACTGTTCGATTCGCCGGCGATGGGGTTTCGATCCATTCTCTGTCCCTGGGTCCCTGTGGCTTATGCTGACCAGCAAAATCCTCCACTCCCTGTCTGTTATACCGGCCACCTATTTGGAAGTACAGTAGTGAATTCATTCGATACTGCCATGTGGACCACGCCACCGATACTGCAAAGGATTTAACTTTCTCAGATGAGCTCATGATAGTAATAAAGTAACTTTAGCTAGTAGGGAGTAAGAAGCAAGAACAATTGTTGCATATATATGATAGGGGCTCTCTTTTGATCCATATTTTAGCTTATCGGTCTGAGGTTCTGATTATCTGCACAGCCGAATTATACATTTCGCTCCATGATTTGCTTTTTTTACTGCTATTACTAGTTCATAGCCTACCCCAACTTGTTTGGGACTTAAAGGTTTTGTTGTTGTTGTTGTTGTTGTTGTTGTATTACTAGTTCAGTTCTTGCATCTGTTGTGTTGACCAATCCTATGTGCCACCTCTCAGGTCCTTAGCGATCCCAAGAAACGTGCAATCTATGATCAGCTAGGGGAAGAAGGGCTCAAGGGTCAGCCACCCCGGGAGCAGGAGCAGGAGGTCCTGGCGCATTTCCCTTCTTCCCTGGCGGGGCTCATTCCACCGCTCACCATTTTAATCCGAGGAGCGCGGACGATATATTTAAAGAGTTCTTTGGATTCCCTGGCATGGGTGGCATGGGCGGCATGAGAGCAGAACCAGGATTCCAGAGGTCAATGTTTGGCAACGATATCTTCTCTTCACGCTTTGGCGCTGAGGGTTCCACCAGTATGCAGCAGCCATCGCACAAGCCACCTGCAATTGAGAATAGACTTCCAGTCAGCCTTGCAGATCTGTACAAGGGTGTGACAAAAAAGATGAAAATCTCAAGAGAGACTATAGATGCCAGTGGGTAAGCTTCCTCCATTATTTAAGTAGTTTATCAGCTGTCAGTCAGGGTTGTGCTGTGTGTCTTGTGTAAGCTCCTTTTAGAGAATTATCTCATAGTGGACTAGACTATTTACTTATTTATCCCATTATTTAAAACGTAATAAATGAATTCTATTCAAATAAACCGTAAATCCTAACCATGTTCAAATGGCATGTTCACTGGATTCAGTCGCTACCTTTTTTGAGAGAAAAAGCAGTACCTGGATCCAGTTAACATGCCATTTCAAGTAGTTCGATAGCAAACGAGAGATAGATTCTTTACCCGTTCATCAATCATGGTAAGCTAAGCTTTCTTTTAACCGTTGGCAGTGATGTATTTCCCCTTTGGCTGTATGACAGAGTTGGGACCTAGTTTAGAGCTTCTCACCTACTCCCTCCGGTTCAAATACATCTTGTTGTAGGATTTCTGCAAGTCAAATCTTTTTTAACATTGATCATCAATACGCAAAGAATACGTAGACAGACAACGTAAGATAGATGTACCTAGATTCATCATGGGAAGTACTCTCATAATACTTAAATATTATATTTTAATAAAAATGTTAGTCAAAGTGATACATTGCAAACTGTGTTTCTTCTAAATGTCATGCACTTTGAATCAGAGGGTGAGAGGGAGCAGAATTATTAGGTGTTGCAGCACTGCCAGTCTGCCACTATACCCGTTGTTTGTGATGAAGGGTGAAGGCTACAGCAGCCCTTTCTTCATGTCAATCATCTTATTTACCTGCATAGCATAGTTGATCAGTCCTCGTGTAATTTACTATCTGGTCAATCCTTAGGGTGTGTACATGGAGCTGCATATGCTTCATTTTTTTTTCTGTATTTGATTTATTGACAAACTTGACCCTCTATAAATCCCAAGTGGCAATGAATAAGATAGAACAAACATTTCCAAAACTTGAAAATGAAGCAAATAGAGACAAATCCATTTTTTCTTTACGAAGATTCAATTACTCCTTTCCATTTCAAGCTTGTGTTGCATAAATAGCTTCTGCTCATCAATTATACTGATATAGGCAAAGAAAATGTGTTTTTCTGTCTCCGCGACAGTTATGTCAAACTATGAAAGCAATGATATTGCGTTATATGTACTGCAGTACTGCTATACTAAACGGATTGCCATCGTATAACCGTCTGGCAACCTATCATGTACTGTTCCTCACCTCTTGACCTATAGTGTTGCTAATTTTACTAAATGAATTGCCATTCTTTCTTTACTTTTTGTTATGCCTTACTTTTCTTGTTCCCTTTTAATACCTTGTAACCTGATCATTGTAACTACGTGAACTGGTAACATTTCCTGAGTATATAAGAGTCTAATGCTAGTTGTTTTATAAAGCACATAACCTTCCCTAGGTATGCTTTGGATATTGTATGTTGTTTGTTTCTCAGAACAGAACTGCAAATATTAGACATTGTTTATGCAACCCTCATTTATTCTACCTGAAGATAAAAAACAAATGTTGATATTGACTTTGATTTCTTTGCTAGCTAACTTGGTGCCTTTCTGGGGGCAGCAAGGAAACATTCGTTGAACTTCATGGGCTTATCAATTTCATTAGATATCGTGATACTACTACTACTACTATTGCAGTGAACTTTTGCATTCTCTAATTATTTGGCAGGCTTTTAGAGTAGAAAATCTCCTTTAATAGATAGTACATCTCAAAGCACAAAAGCACAGGAAAAACAATTACGATAAAATTGTATTTATCTTTTTAGTTTGCCCCGTTTCATTAAGGGTGGTATTGTTTTAACCTTCTAGGGCTTGCTAGTTACTGTATAGTATATCTCCTTTTGCTGTCAATCAATTATTTTCCGTATGTTTTTGTTTCTTTTAGAGAGTGGTAATCTTATGTTTTCGGTATGCTGAAGTGTATTTTCAGTCTTGATTGGTATGCTTCCTCTGTTAAATCTATTGTACTTCCAAAACATTGTTTTTGCTACATGGATGCTAATCTTAGTGTTATCAATAGGAGAATCTCAAACGCAGAGGATATTCTGACAATAGAAGTAAAGCCTGGTTGGAAGAAGGGAACAAAAATTACGTTTCCTGACAAGGGAAATGAAGCTCCAAATATGAAACCTGCTGATATTGTTTTCATCATTGATGAGAAGCCCCATGACGTTTTCACTCGGGATGGGAATGATCTTGTCATGACTGAGAAAATCTCACTGGTGGAAGCACTGACTGGCTATACTGCACGTGTCACTACGCTTGACGGGCGGAGCCTATCATTACCCATCAACTCAATAATCCATCCGAACTACGAAGAGGTAATCCCTAGAGAGGGCATGCCAATACCCAAGGACCCCACTAAGAAAGGAAATCTGCGGATTAAGTTCAACATAATGTTCCCTTCTAGGCTGACTTCTGATCAGAAGGCTGGGATCAAAAGGCTATTGGGTTCTTAGGCCGCCTCAAATGACATTTTATGATGAAAGTTATTGTGAATATTGCCAGTAATTGGCTAGGTAGATTTTTATTTGTCTAGCAGAATACAAGTGAGAAAGGATGGGAGTGTCATTCATCAGCCTGCTCGTTTCGGCTGGATTGGCTTATAAGCCATGGGCTGAAGTACCGCTGGCTGGTTTGGTGTGAGAGGAAAACACTGTTGGCTGGCTGATAAGCCAAGCCAGATATAGGCAGTTACAGCCTGCCGAACAGGCTGCATATCTGTAACGGATGGTCATAATGTGTCAGTTTTTATCCATTATTTACTGAAGGTTTTCCTTGGGTAGTTGATGAATTGCTGAACGAATGTATTATTCTTCGCAACCAATTGAGCTGAGTACCTTCTCGGGAGCATTCTGAGTTGATGTAGATGACTCGTAGAAATGCCTTCTGAGGAAGGAGGGCAGGGTTTATTTTTTTTTTTATTTAATCTTGGCTCTAAGGCCTTTCATTCACCACTGTGGACATCGTCAAATCGTGAGCCACCAAGTCATTTATTTATAAGATTAGGGAGAGGGATCAAGTCCTAACGCAAGCTAATGCTGGCAAGTTCATGTGCTAACAAATTACAAGAACGGGGAACAAACAACACATGAGTAGACAAATTGCTCATGAACGAGCATGAACGAGGTCAACTGCGATCTGAAGCCGTTTTTTAGACAAGCTAGGGTACTACCTCAGCCATCAAAACATCATGTACAACTTCCAGTCTACCTGCCCCAGCGATTACTACTTCACCATCCTGGTCTCTAATTATAAAACCCCTACCACTTCACCATCCTGGTCTCTAAATATAAAACCCCACGCTCCAGCTCTTGATTCCCTGACAAATGCAACATCAGAATTGATGTTTAACAGCCCAATTGGAGGAGGTGTCCATGTTTGCACTGGTGATGGTGCTCTCACAATCTGAGCCTCCAGCCGACCATCTTGATCTCTCAAAGCCAAAAGAACAGCTCTTGTGTAACCTCCAGGACAGACTGCATCTTTTCACCTGCAGTAACTTCATTTCTCACCTCCCACCATTTTCATAGTAGTGTCATTATTTTACCACAAAGGGCCGGCTTCAATTTCAAGACATGTTGTACAAAATCTCTAGCTGATGAGGCTGACAATAAGCTCTAAAGCTAAGTCTTGCCAGCATCGTTTGACGGCTTTACACTCGAGGAAACAATGTCCTCCGTCCTCATCAAATCTCAGACATACAGGACATCTGATATTCAGATCAATCCCTTGTCGTTTTATGTTTATCTTCAGTGGAAGACTATTGTGTGCAAGTCTCCAAATAAATTGTTTGATTTTTGGCAAACAAGATATCGTCTAGATCTTTAGCCACCACCTCTCTAGAGAATTAGATGATGGCCTTGTGATCCTTCTCCTTTCCGATGTACCCTTGTCCATTCTCTCACATCATCCAGAATATGGTAATGCCGGTTTTACCAAAAACACCTTTTGGGTCTGAATGCCAAGCAATAACGTCCTCATGTCCCGGTCTCACTGGAATCACTAAAATATTAGTTGCGTCTTCTTCCCAAAATATATCCCGTATGAATTGGTTATCCCATGTTTCAGTGACTGGATCTATAAGTTCAGATACCTTAGCAACCAGAACACCATGCCTTGGAGTTATAGGTCGTCTAGCAACCCCATTTGGAATCCAGGGATCTTCCTAAATTCTAATCTGGTCCCAATCACCAACCCGCCAAATCAAACCATTTTTTTAGAGTTTGTACACCCCGAATAATACCTAGCCCTTCAGAAGCCTTGAGCAGCTAACCATTAGTGTAGTATCTCGCTATCAGAAGTTTTGCACAGAGAGAATCTGGATTCTGCAGCAGTCTCCATGCCTGGTGAGCCAACATGGCAAGATTGAAGAGGTGTAGATCTCTATATCCAAGACCTCCCTTTTCATTTCACTTACACAATGTTTCCCATGATACCCAGTGTAATTTATTCTCTTTCTCCAATTGTGCCCACCAAAACCTACAAATCATCGTGCGGATCTCATCACATAGAGTCTTTGTGAGGTCAAAACAGGACATTGCATAGCTATGGATGGCCTATGCAACGGCTTCGATTAAGACCTCTTTGCCCGTGCGGGAAAGCAATTTTTCTTTTCATCCTTGAATACGTTTCCAGACTCTATCCTTCAGATAAACAAACATGTTTGCTTTTGATCACCCCATATGCACTCGGAGGCGTCCGATCGACGCGCGCTCTAACGGTCAGGACGCGCGCACTCGGAGAGGTTCTAGAGCGCAATGTTTGCAGCGCGACCGGACGCGTCCGATCGAGTGAGACCGGACTCGGCCCAGAGTTCGATCAACGCGCGCGCTCTAACGGTCAGGACGACCGGACACGTCCGGTCAGGACGACAGCAGCGTCCGGTCAGTAGCAGAAAGCTGAGTTTCACCCCCAACGGCTACTTTCTCGGTGGGGCTTATAAATAGACCCCACAACCGGCCATTTGAGATGTGGAGAGCTGAGGAAACATACCAAGGGTGTTGATACACCATTTTAGTGATCTCCACTTACATAGTACTTAGTGATTCATTAGATGATTAGCGTAGGTGCTTTGCAAAGTGCTTAGGTTGATTAGACCACCGCTTATGCGTTTGCTCTAGGTTTAGGCTTAGTGTTTAGTGAGGTTTGCACACCTCTTATCACTCGATGCTTGTGCGCACCACTGTTGTCCATCGGAGGGGCTTGTAGTCTTGCGAGATCACACCAACCGCGTTTATGGTATGGCCGTCACCGTGTACCGAAGGGAACAAGGTCCACGGTGGTTCGACCGGAAGCTTGATAGTGAAGACGGCAGGGACCATCCGGGAGAGGCTTGCCGGAAGGCACGTCGGAGACCCACTTGCGTGTGGGGAAGGCCCAAGGTTATCCATGGAGTTACCCGACCAGGAGCTTGGCCCTAGTGAAGACGGCAGGGACCATCCGGGAGAGGCTTGCCGGAAGGCACGTCGGAGACCCACTTGCGTGTGGGGAAGGCCCGAGGCTATCCATGGAGTTACCCGACCAGGAGCTTGGCCCTTGTGAGGGATTCCTTGCGAGGGGCTCCAACGAGAACTAGGGAGAAGCTTGCATGCTTCTCGATACATCGGTAAAAATACCAGAGTGGTCGACGGGAGTTTGCATATCTCTACCTTACTCTTTAGCTTCCGCATTTACATTGCAATCTTGGTGTGTGCTTTACTTTCCTAGCTTAGTAATAGGCTAGTTGATAGGTTTGGAACTTAGGTTGCATACCTCCTTTTGCGGTAGAGATAGCATCACACCTAGTGTCGGATTCATAAACCCGAGGTCCCCAATGGACCTGCTTCCCTGCAAAAACTCGGCCCATCAGGCGGCGTAGCGACAACGCGTGCCTCCCAACCTGGCCCAAATACATGATGATAGGCTGGGAGAACGATCCGGTCCCCGACCGGAAGGCCTGGCCAAGGTGGGGACATAGTCCGACTCCAACCTCCTTTTCCGACCGGGGATACGTCGGACCTCTGTTTGCAGCTCTTCCCCGACCGACACGGTCGGGGCCGACTGGGAACGACCGACCGGGGACGCCTGCTCGGTGAGGACCCGGGGATCAGGCGGAGCAGATAAGGTAAGGCGCTCAAGTCAAACTGCAATACCGAGGACCGTTGTCGCAGAACCGACCAATTTATAAGAGTACAAGTACAATGGCGTCCCGCAAGCGGTCGCACTGTCATACTTGAACCCATATAAACCCGGTAGTCCGTCGAGTACCACGACGGTCTCGATAAACGATTTACAACAACCAAGATCGTACATGATTCAACATACATGACCTCCATGTCTTGTTGCTTCTCTATCGACATCCCGCCCGGTCTCCATTTACATTACCCATGGTTCTTTTCCACGATAGCAAATATAGCCTACCGTGCTCCGGTATCCACCGACATCTCGCAGGTGACAGGAAATCACCCGACTTCTACCGGTCTAAGCATGGCTAAGCATATATTCGATCCTGGACCTATACCGGTTAAAGGTGTAATAGCTGGACAAGGAATTTATATGCATCAAGTGGTTCCATTCAACTCTTATAACCTAATGCATCAATCATAAGTACTTAAGTAATCATTTGTAAAATACTGGGAGACTTAGAATGCTCCGGGGCTTGCCTCGCAGAAAGAAAGTAGGGCGGTGATCAGGACACTCCGGAAGCTCTTCAGGATTCTGCTCCTCGCCTTCGGGAGTTGCGACTTGAGGATTCTCCTGCTGGTCCCCTTCCTCTACTTCATCGAATTCCAGCAACGTTATTTCTTCCTCCGATCCTAGATGCATGAATATGGCATAAGATATTGCGAATGCATACATGCGTACAAGTATAAAATGATGACACATGATGAATGCATTTGTATAAGTATTCTTAATAGCATGGTGTTAACAAATGCATCATATTTTACCGAGTAAGTGCATATCTCTTCTTGACTACTTAATCAAACACATTTACAATTCATTCACTACACACAAAACAGCAGCTGCTTGGTTTAGTCATAACAGAAGTTCTACTTATCCAAATGCTGTGATATTAGACTTTCTAGAAAGCTTATAAAATTGTCTACAACTCTTATTTAATCACCAAAAGCTAATTCACACTTTATCTTAACCAAAACAGATAATCAATCCAGCGCTGTCCAGAAATTCCCGAGACCAAGCAAATTCGGAAAGGCTAACTTTAAACAGCTGTAACTCCTAAACCGTTTGACCCATGGTCCTGAAACTTTAACCCAAGACATATAATGAAGTTATTTACAACTTTGTTATTAACTATTTTTACAGCAAACATCATTTTTATCATGCAACTTATCAAACTCCAGAATCTGTCCGAAAACTATTCTAATTCGCATTACAATGTAACAATACTTCTACTTCATATAAGTATTCAAATTTTTACAACCCAAAGTCTACCAACAGTTTAAGCATACCAAATACA